GACTTTTACTTCACCCCTTGAACCTCTTCAACACACTGTCAGACTGACTGTGCTCTCTCCTTATCTGAGATTACTTTCTCTCCACCGAAATGCAGTTCATTACTTTCTTCAATGGAATTCCAAATCTGCTCTCTAATAGATTTCTAATCCTCAGCAAACCCATGCATTACGAAGCAAGCGCTGTGCTTGCCATATGGTTAATCTGATTTTCAGTGACCCTGCCACATAATTTTCATTAGGAGCATGTGATTAGGAAAATACCACACCAACAAGAATATGATTCCCATTTCCGGCTCTCCCTCATTGTTCTGGGGGATTCTGATTATCACACAGCCTTTAGTCTCTACAGAGAACTGCAATTGCTTCCCCTCAGAAATCTGTTACTTTTAGGTATGTTCAAAAGTGTCATAGACTGCTTCTCAAGCTCACAGAGATGGATGCACAGTTCCTAGGACACTGCACTTCACTTGCTTGTAGAAGAATTAATAGATCAATAGATTTGTGATCTATCACGGCAAGGATGGGACTATAACACAAAGCGTGTTTCCACACTAGCACACTGTTAAAGTTAAAATGGTGTGTTATTTTTATCCCATTTCTGAGCATGCAAAACATTCTGACCACTTGTGATCATTAATAACCTTGTGCAGCTTTTCACAGCAATAAATAAAGGAGCTCATCAAAATGTCCTTGGAGAATTCCTGCTTATGTAACTCTATATCACCCAACTATATCCTTATTTCACCAACTGGGGGTTTCTAGCTCACGTCCTGTGACAAGCTGTTCTGAGATCATACTGAATAATTTTCAGTAGCAGCAACCATTAACCTTCAAAGTACAGGAATTTTGGTGTTGGAAGGAGAATAAAAATACATACATATCAGAGGATGTGTAAAAATCAGTGATTTTTAAGTATCTGTTGCAATACATAGAAGAAATCCTTTAGTATTTATAGCAACTAAAAATACAAACAAAGGATGTTTAGACTAAGCAAGTTTGAGACTTTGTGGTGGAAGATTTCATATGAATGTTGATGTTTTCATGTTTTGCATTATAGGGGTTTTGATGATTTATTATGATACGGAGATTTTTTTTCTTATATGAATCACTTAATTCCCAATGCAAGGCTGTTATCAGGCACCTTGGGAATGAGGCCTGCTGAAGACAGACATTTAGAAAGGAACAATTTTCAGGTGGGTGAACATGCTGTTCTTTTCACACTTAAATATACAGAACTTGATGTTTTCAATTAATATCCTCTCACCATGGGTGAAAAACTGCCCTTGATGTTCTAAATACACTATAGTTGGGACTGTAACAGTGGCAACCAGTGTGACACAGCCCCAAAAAATGATACAAACACACAGTCTTGCTCTGCTTGAGTAAACTCCTCTCTCAGCACTTTTTGAATCATCAGCTATTTATTTCAATATTCTGCATGTCATCAGTGTTTTGGCAGCCCATTTTTTTTCCTTCTAATATTCCTTGTGTATAAACAGCACATATAAAATTTCTGGTTTGGAACAGTTCATTCTTAACTTGTTAAAGTCTAGTCTGGTAAATGCATCATTTGTGTCATGACATCACTCCAACTTGTGACAGTAAATGCTGTAAGAATTCATATCAAGGTGTTACAAGTCTTGCATTTATATGTTTGACTGATAATTTCACAGTGGAAAAATATCTGGGTCATCACTTTCCAGAGGCACCAGTGTCTGTGTTTCTATTCCTGGTCAACATCAGAACGCGTTCGAGTGGTGTTTTCCCTGCTGACACAACTAGACAGACAGAACTGTAAATGTTATTGTGAGACACAGCAATTTCCATGTGGAAGAAGGGCTGATAAGTTTTAAACTATCCTCTTTTGGCTTAAAGAAGCCTCCAGTGCTTTTATTATACCCTCTTGATTTAGCTGTTTCTGTTGAAAGGGCAGGCTCTGACCTCCTACGAGTACTGTAAACAAGCTGCATGCAGGTTTTTAAAGATGCTCCCAGTTTGGGAGCATGTACAAAATCCATGTCAGCTGCTTGATTTACCTGTAACTTCAGTGGGTGGAAGCCTGCCCCAGACTGTCTGAAGTGGCTCAGTTTCAAATATTAAAGTGAGATTGAAAACTAGCAATGACACTTTTTTTCCCCTTCACCTTTGAATTGACTATTGATCTCGCTGACTGAGGTTCCAGCACTGAAAGCTGGTTATGGAGAAACACCTTCTTAGAGAGACAAGAATATTTCTCAGACTTCCTTCATAAACATTTCACTGAACTCAGCTGGGACAAGAGCCTCCAGAGCCCACTTCTCTTGGAAAAAATGTTGCCTTTCAGAACCTGACATTTCCCAGCTGGAACTGGATCTGTTTCTATGAAATCAAAAAAGCAAGTGTAGCTCATGGCTATTAAAGCGTAATTTTTTTGATGTGCATCCATCATTCATGCTGGTGACCTAATCTCTGTAAAGTTAAGGGGAGAGAAGAAAAGAAGACAATTCACAGACCCTAAAACACCCACACATCTGCTTAGAACTCTTCCACAATGCCCCTTGCACGAGTTAAAATGTGAAGCATTTAACATTTATTTGAAGAATAATTTAAAGTAAGAGTTAAGAAAACTCTGACATCTTCCACAGAAAATTAATGAAGGAATTAACAGAAAATTAAACATCCACCATTTACATAATTCATAAATAACTATTTTTTCTGTTCTCTTCTCTGTCCATACACTGCCAGGGAGGACATGCCATAAGCACAACCATGAGTTTTTTCTCTTGTTTAATGTTTTTATCTCTTGTGTTCTTCAGAACTGCTGTCAGTTTTGCAACCAGCGCAGCTAGGCATGTCTCACTGAGTTCAGCTATGTGATTTACACCAGCAAGGACCTCCAGCTCTACTTCTCTGTCTTTAATTCATCAGCTTGCATAAAGCACTACTTGACTCACACGCAAAATCCCCCTGAATTACCCCTGAATCACCAGGGTAAGTAAAATTTACCTGTTTAGGCTTTCTGAGTCAGATTTGTGATGTTACTTTAATTACAGATTTCCTTTTAATTTCCAAAGTGTCATTCAGGCCCACATCACTGGCTCCCACCTGGCCACAGAGAAGCAGAGTAGCCTGGATTTTGAACGCAGGCTGCTTATACAATGCTGAGAGCTGCTTTCAGCTGAGCTCCAGATATTCTTCACCTGCAACCTTTGGTTGCCTCCCTCCTCACTGAGGTGTGTAAAACCTCCTAATAATCATGAGAAATAGGTCTTTTATCTAACTCTCTTGAGGGAATTATACACTTCTGGGAACCTCTGAAAACAGCCTGCAGTAACAAAGAAGCCACAGACAGCAGGAAGACTGGAGATTCATGTTCATAAATTGTCAGGCCAGAAGGAAAAGGTACACTAAGGAGGCAAAGCCCTGCTTAGGTCAGATAACCATCCCTGCCACTGAGCTATCCATTAATGAGCCCCCTCATCAATACATTTGCCAAAAAAGCCCTAAGTCACCTGCACGTGTCCCCATCCTTCCAGCATTACCTGTGGTGATATTGCTCAGGGAAGAGGATCACTGGATTAACAGGTTACAAAACCAGGAGCTGCTTGGAGAAACTGAAATACAAAGCTGAGCTCCAGACCCTGAGTTGCTCCTCATTGAGCTAGGACACTTTTAAGACCCTTTGAAGCTAAACTGCCTTTTTTTATTTTTAATGTCAGTGTATCTCAGAGCTATTTTGAATTGGAGTTTGCCACAACTCCAAGAGGCCATTATGATAGAGATCACCAGTGAATAAAGATTTGGGGTATTTTGGGTAAAGATTTTTTGGCCCCTTTACAATACTTGCTGCAGGGTTATACAATGAAAATTAAGGGCACTACCTCCTTAAAGCTCTCCCACATTTTCTGACTTTTCAGATAATATTTCTTTACCAAACCCCTTTATCATTTTATCTCATTTCCCCTGGCTCCTTCCACTGGCCTCACCCCTGGTTTGTTCTACAGTTTGCTTCCTTCCCCTCTCATGCTGCCTTCAGCAGCTCCATTTCTCACTGAAACCCCTCTCCAGTACTAGATTTCAGCTTTGCCTGGTATGCTTTAGGCCACTGTCAGCTTTCCTCACACTCAAGACTCATCCTTCTTCCTTCTCCCCATGTCTTTCCCCCTCCCCCTGCAAGTGCCATGAGCTGCTATGAGTTTTCACATGGATTTGCTTCCCTCATAAGCTTCTTCAACACATGACCTGCAGTTCCTTTCAGTTTATCCTAATTAGTTTCAACAACCTGTATTTCCATTTCCCAAACTGTATGCACTATCAGGTGCTCACTTTATCCATCAGAACTATTTGTCCTCCAAACTTTTTTTATTTTTTTTTTCAATAGTGATCTTCAAAACCATCAGTCTTATTGAAACCCTCCCTGAAGTCCTGCTGTCTCCTGTAATTTCAGTTTTCTTTAATGAATGGGTTGGTGTTGATATAATTTACCTGTACCATTCATATTTCAATGGCCTCGGTTCTATTCAACAACACCATTTCCAATGAGAGGTGATATTCTGAAGCATGAACTGTATTTACATTTTTCTTTAAATGTAGTACCTCAGCTGTAAAGCTAAGCATGCTTTCCTCTTCCCTTTCACATCAGAGAAACTTTGCCTTTCATTCCCTGTCCTATAACCTGAAAATACTCTCTCTGTTTTTCTCACTTTTCTCATCACTGCTAGTCTGGATATAGATGTCCTCATAGAAAGTTGTCCCAACAGACAGCAAATGAGACAGAAGTCACACCAGCAGAAAACAGAAAATAAAGCAGACAAACCCCTGCTTAGTTAGAAACAGTAAAAAAAAAAACAAAACAAAAAAAAAAAAAAAAAAACCACAAAAAAAACCCAACCCACAACAACCTAAGCAAACAAACAAACAAAAAACTCCACAAAATGACAAAAAAAAACCCAAGGAAGTCAACTTGCCCCATGTATCTTAGCTCTTCCTGAGGCCCCCTCCAAGCTGCAGTGGCAAAATACCTTAGAGACGTTTCCCAAAGGTCAACACAGTGCTGCAGTAATATTTCCTTTCCTTCCTTCAGTGGATTTATTTTGTCAATGATTGTTCTCTGCCTCAGCAAAACAGCTTCATCTCTTTTCTCTATTTAGCTCTTGTGGGGCTGAACCCTGCAGCAGCAGTCCCAGTGAAGTCGGTGGGAATGCTGACTCTGGAAGAACCAGATGTGTCCCATTGAATAATTATCCAGGGCTGAATGAGCTCCCAGAACTTGTGTGTGAAGACAAGCATCCACATTGAGAGGTTGTTAGCCAAAGCAGGAGTTCCACTAAAACAACATTCCCCACTGCCTCCCAACAATGCCCTCACCGACCTCTTCAAATAAATATTTCCACTAAAAAAATCCCAAACAGAGATAAGATTTCAACAAAGAAAAATTGTGTTATTAAAAAAGAGATTAGAACACTAAACCTTTCCCAACTGTAAGTCAATTTGATCTTTAAACAGAGGTCAGGTGTTTTTTTCTGCTGTAGAAACACATGCAAACCTTCCCAGTAGAAATGCACTGTCTGAAGTTTTAATAAAAGTCAGCCAGAGCCATAGGAAGGTGGAGGTCTTATTGAGGAGTATTCAGTAACCACAGGATTAAGAAATTTAACTACTAGAGTAGTATCTTATTGACACCTAGTTGCTGCCTTATTGCTGATAATTTTAGCTTATCTTCCACATTTTTCTCTCCAGCCACTGCAGATATATTCTGTGTGGAAAAACAGTGGAAGAAATTGTTCTGGTGAAATTAGTGAAGACTTAGTGTCTCATTTAAACAAGTATTTAAAATTTACATTCAAGTGTTACAGGCACTCTTCAAATTTTAAAATATTCTTTCTAGTAAAAAATAGCATGAACTATGCAAAACCTGAAACAGTCAGAAAATGTTTCAAATATCTCAGTGATGATGATGAACTCACAGGTAGATAAGGACACCATTCACCTCTTTTTATCCCTAGCTCTTTTAGGAGATGAAATCCTGCAACCCAGAAGAAGAGCCCTGTGCCACTGGTGGGATAGAGGAGAATACAGAGAGAGATCTAAAATTCTGGAGGTTCATTCAAGGAACAAATCCCTTTTGCAGCCTTTCTGGCTGCCAGGACCCAGTATCCCAGGGGTTGAACATTGGTGCACTACACTTTTGCTCAGGAAAGAGGAACTTTATACCTTTTTCTAAGTGAGGAGAAACAGGGCAAAAAATACAGTGCTTATTAAAAGACTCCCTCTGGAGCTGTTTCCTGAAGGAACCTGCTTGCAAATTAATGTCTTTACTCTGACTTGCCACCCTGACCCAACTGGATTTTGTACTGCAAACCAGAGATTCTTCCCACTTCCACTGCTTTAGTTAAGCTGATGCAACAAGTCCATGTTGTCAGAAGATCCACATGGCAAAGGAATAAAAAAAATTTCGTATTTCCACTCAACTGTTTTTTTTTTTTACTGTCTTTCCTGCAAAGCCCATGAGGTGTGTGGGTCTAAGCTTGCCATGGGTTTTGACTCAGCTTCAGCCAAGTACATTGAATTCATTAATTCATGAAACACAAATATTTAAGCCCACATAAAACATCTTCAGAAAGCCAACGGGACATTTTGCACCATCAATTACCCTGCCATTGTCAGCTGACTGGAACTCTGTAACTGCACTTCGATTAAAACTTAGAGGAGTTCTTCCATTTTGGTTTGGGTTTTTCTTTGTTTTGTTTTTGTTGCGTTTTGTTGTTTTGATTGTTTATTTTTTTGTTTTCCAAAAAATCTCCGTAGAGAAGATAAATAGGGAAAAACTAACCAGAACAAATTGTGCAGGGAGACTCAAATGAGTTCTGCTGACAAACCCAGAAGTGTATTATTCCCAACACTGTGAGGCACTGCAGTGGAAAGGAGCAGGAGGTGGTCTCACTAACAAAGTGCCCAGTGGAACTCACAGTGGGACAGGTGAGTTAAAACTGGAGCTTGGATTTCAGATGAGACATTATTGATCCTTCTCTGGTTTAGCTTGAAAGCAGGGGCTAGGAGTCACACCACCACGGAGACAGAGCTCAGCATGGAAGAATAAATAAGGCTTTGATGTTGTCCTGATCAAAGTGGCATCCCAGCCACAGGAAGCAGGGGAAAAGGTTGGACTCAATGATCTTGGAGGTCTTTTCCAACCTAAATGATTTTGTGTGGCTCTGTGCAGGGGGAAGGCTGTGTGGCCCTTGGGAGTGGTTGTGCCCCAGGTTCATTCTCCGACCTCTTCCTGGGCCAGGCTGGTATAATCCAGCCCTTTATATGCAAGTGACTGGGGGAGAGCACCATAAATATGGAACATCAAAATGTCACTTGCACAGTCACTTTAAACAGATATGTCCTAGCACTCTCTTTCTTCTGCGCAGGAAAGATAATAATCTGTTAAACTTTCTCCCAGAACCGTATTTTAGCATTTTAATTACAGCCCCAACGTATTCACCAAACACACTCTCACAAAAAGGGCACGCCTTAATAAAAGTCGGTACGTCGTGACCCAGCAAGGCCGGTGCCCGCGGGGAATGGCCAAGGAGCCGGTGGCACCGGGCCGGGACAGCGCCGCGGGGCCGGGCAGGCCGGGCAGGCCGCGGACGGAGCTGCTGCCGCCGACCCGCACCAGGGCTCCTCCCGAGCGGCTGCAACGCAGTTCTTGTTCCTGCAGGAGGGCTCTGCCGCTGGCCGCGGTGTCCCGGGAGAGCCCCGGCTGTGCCCCTGCTTTGAGCGCGGCCTCCCTCTGCTGTCCTGCCGCAGCTCTGCGCTGGGGACGCGCCAGGTCACCTCCGCGGAGCAGCCCGAGAACGAGACTTGGACAAACGCCTTGAAAAAAAAAATTCTGCTTGATGCTATTTAGTTTCACAAGGAGCACTTTTATGTCTGGAAGTGTCAGTCCCAAGCGCTGGAGGTTTCACAGTGGAAAATACATAAATAAAAAACAGCTGGGAAATGCATTTTCTCCTTATGGAGCTGCCCAATCAGGTTTCCATTACTAGTAAGAAGTAACAACAAGCAACAGCTTGTTTGAGAGAGAAGTAACATGAATTTCTAAGCAGCAAAGATTCTCTGAAAAGAGTGGAATATGAAAAATGTTCATAGCTTTCACTTTTTGACAGGGGTAAAACATGGAGCTAACATCTGACTGAGGCAGGGGAAGTCCTTCCACATCCCTGTATCCACATGCATATCAGGATTCAGAGGATCAGGATTCTGAAGATAGCCCATGAGGTGTGTGGGACTGGATAACATATCTGAGAGACATGAAAGTTTGAATAAAGCGCCCATTTTCATTGGCATGGATGATTTGAGCTTGGTGATTTTTATCCCTTTCAGACAGCATATGAACGGCCTTTCCAACAGCCTCTGGGCTCTTCTTCATTTGCAGATCAGCAGAATTTCTAAGCCAGTCTCAGTTCTGAAAGGTAAAGAGCCAGTACACTTAGGATTTCGCTTTAATTGGTATTTTTCCAATGTTTTCATAGGCAAATCCAGAAGTTCTTTTCCTTCCATAAACTCTTAATAAGTATAATATTCTTGAAGCAGTAAGGTGAGCTCACAGTATGTTTGCAGTGTCAATGGCTATTTTTGTGATCTCCATGAATGAGCCATGACAATACTGTCCTGTGTGATAAAACATATATTAAATCATGGATTGCAAGCGTGATCCTACAGTCTCGAAGTCTCGATGGTTTGCTTTCCAAACACAAGATAACAATTTGCTGAGTGAGCTGCTTTGAATTCTTGCAGGCACTGTATTAAGTTCTATTGTGATTTAACAGGGGCTAAAATTTGCTCTTATTTGGTTGGGAGTCTTTCAGCAGTCAGTGTATGCACATGAGGGCACATTCTGTCTCTTTCTATTTAATGTGCATGTTACAGTTCAAATCCTTCTCTTAAATGCACTTAGTGTGAGACACACTGAATGATATTTTATTTACACTAGTAGTGGGAGAGGTGTTGAAATTTTCATTATTCCAGTTTTTAATAGTGCTGAAAAAGGAATGTCATGTCATTCTTTTTTCTGTGACCTCTAAGTAGAAGTAATTTGCTCCATACAAATTAGGACAGAGTCTGAAGGAGAAGTTCAGCATTATTCTGTAGCTCTATGCAGTACCTTGTGCATCCAATTAACTAATGAAATCTGAATTAAAGGGGGGGCAGGGAATAAAAATCTTTTTTTTTAGTTTGAAACATTCCCAGTTTGCAAGAGAAAAGAGTGTGGCACTGCCCTGCTGGAGTTACAGTGTAAAGTAATAAACCAGGGTGCAGAGGCAGACTAGAGAGAAACCTGACCCACACACAATAATCTGTGTGTATGGGTTCAGGAGAGCAAGGAGTTTTCAAAATCCTTTGCATTGTTATGGATCCCCATGGCTCCTTGGCAGAAGTCCAGACCCATGCATTAGCCACCTCAGAACAGCTTCCTCAGGTTTCTAGTGCCTAAATAACCTGATATTATTGTGCTCTTTCTGGCACTAAAAAGCCTTCCCTAAAATTATGTCTTTTAATTCAGGTATTGGTTGACTGGTTTAGCAATTCTACTTTTACCTCAGCTTGCACGTAATTCCAGAAACTATAAACCATGAACAGAAGGGCAACAATTACACTGTGTCCCTGATATACACAGACCCAACATCCACACACTCCCAAATTAGTATACTAATGATGTTACTGCTTTAATTAACCATGCTACCGTGCCTGTACTGGACTCTTTCCCAAGAACTGTTCAGGTTACTGCGTAAGGCAAGGACACCGATTTTCCTTTAATGCTTTTTTTTTTTTTTCCCCCCTTTATTGACAAGACTGCCAAGTTCACAGAAGAATCAATAGCCAAGGATATTCACATAGGATAAGATTTACAAAGCATGTTTCTCAGACAGTAACAACTGGGACCTCGGAGCACTTACTGGAACCAACAAAATGACAACTGATATGTCCTCCAGTGAATCTATGTTAAGACGTTCTGTCTGCAGTAATTAAAAACTAGGTAATGTCACCTGTGTGAAAAGCCCACCATAAAATCAGCTCCACTTAGGAGAGTAACTTGACATGTTGACTTTTTC